TAGGATCCCTAGATTAAGCCTTTGGGCCTAGACCTGAAACCCTAAACCCTAGACCCTAAACCCTACAACCCTGGACCCTAAACGCTAGGCCTTCCCTGAATGACCGAGGATGATCGAGATGGGTGAGGACAGCTTCATGACTAACCTTGTCCATGAGAAGTATCGGAGCCTTGCCCAAGGGAAGTCTCTTTGTAAGTTTAGGGTTTTAGGGTTTTAGGGTTTAGAGTTTAGGGTTTAGGGTTTTAGGGTTTAGGGTTTAGGGTGTGGAAATTGTGAAAAATGAGCTACTGTCCATATTAGCCTTAGGAAGGGACCCTTAGGGGCTGAGGTTTAGTGCTATTATGAAGGGATTACATGGAGATTATGGGGGGGGTCTCTCGTACGTAAGGGTGTTTTGGGGCACCGCAACACCCCAGTTTAAGACCCTATGACTATCACATGACCGTTATTATAGGGTCTCCACTATTCAGGTTAGTTAGGGACTATTCAGGTCAGTTAGGGCTGCCAAAATCTGTTTATGCCTATTTGGGGTATACTGTGACGATGAGAGTGCCTAGTACGATGACTTGGCGAAACTCTCAAGTGTGCGCAGGTGCGAGGATCAGGATTACAGGGCTGGATAGGGCAAAGAATTTGGCATCAAGCATTTGAGCTCCAGAATTTCTGGACCCTAAACTCTAAACCGTGGATTGGGATTTTCACAATGCTCTACCAGGACCTTGAGCGCAGGGGTCCATTCTCCTGCCTGAGTCACAGACCAGGAACAGGAGTTGAGAACCTGTAGTCAAGGGTCCAGGAAAACGCGACTTGTAGTGTTCGCGGCTTAGAGTTTGGGCTTTGCACCTTTCGGTTTCAGTGTTAAAGGATTTTTCAGGCCTAAGGAGCTAAGGCAGGGTCCACAGCAATTCCCTGAAAGCAGACATCCAAAATGTTCCCACCATTGGACTAGTATCAGCTTTTGTCTAGTCTGCCTCGGAGTATATGCCTTCAAAACTTGCGTCTCGGCATCCAGATCCAAAAGCAAAGCCCTAACCATATGTCGTTCAAGGAGCCGGTACTTTTTGCTCAGGAATTAATACTGTGCAAACGCTTTTCAGGGGTCCAGGCCACTTGAAAGGGGTCTTCTTCACGATCCATGGAAGTGAAGTGATTTTACTTAAAGGGTACTTCCACATAGGCTATTTCCACAAAGGGGTGGGCCAACATAGACCGCCATATACGATAATCCTTGTTGTCGTGACCCTGCAAAAAGGGACGCCTAGTTTCTGGAAACCCAAATCCTTGTAAACCAGCATGGTATCACAGTTGCCATTTCATCTTCCATGTTCCTTTCCATTGGATTCTCCAGTGTTAGGGGGGAATATCCCGAATCCCTGGACTCCAAGTCATAAACCTAAGCCCCTGAACCCTGAACCCTACACCTTCAACCAATTATCTTATTCAGTCCATGCTTTTATCTTATTATCATATATATCCCTTATATGTTGGGTTCCTGGTTACCAGCCCTAAGATCAAAAAACCTAGAAGCCCTATAGTCGTAAAGTCTAGAGCAGCGAGCCTTAAGTCTAAGCCCCTAACAAGAGGGTGCTTATAACCCTAAACCATAACTCCCAAACCTAATAGAGTTTAGGGTATGTGGGTCTCAGGGATTCTCGGGATTGATCAGCTGAGGAATGGTGGCGGGATCCGGCTCCTCGGCTCGTTTAGGGTTTAGGGGGTTTAGGGTTTAGGGTTTAGGGTTTAGGGTTTGGGGGTTTAGGGTTTAGGGTTTGGGGGTGGGGAATGTAGAAGGCTGAATGTCCAGGAAATCTAGACAACTCTTACAGGATCTATCAGCTCCAGTAAGCTCTAATCCGGCTAATCCTGAACCCCTCAGGGTTTAGGGTTTAGGGCCCAAACCCTAAACCCCATAAGCTTTATAGATCCTTAACCCTTGACCAAGAATCAAGACCCAGACCGCGGCCTGTGAAGGTCCAAGAATCTATAAGTATCACATACCCCCCAAAAATTCAAAAATAGGGTACTACTGTTGATGAAGGGAACACTAGATCACTAGGTCCTATATTCTAAGGACCCTAAACGTTGCAAGATTTCCTCCTAAGGATCCCAAAGTATATGGCAGGTTGTCAAAGTCACGATCACTCTTCTGGGGCCCAAGTATCATACCCTAAACCCGAAACCCTATAAACCGCGTGGCCCATAAGATTTTTTAGGGTTCCCCAGTACAGGGACCATTACTGTCACAACCGACCATGTGACAAGGTACTGTAACCCAGAGTGTCCACATGTACAACCATTAGGGAATTGGGGCCTTAAATTCCTTGTATAGTATAGTATGTTGGGGCCTCATTCCCTAATAGTTGTATATAGGGACCCTCTGGGTAATGCAGGTTCCTGCCCCACTGCTGGGCTACGTCCTTCATGCCTGAGACGTGGAATGAGTACCTGGGTCGCTGTTCAGGAGGCTGGGTTAAGGTTTTAGCTTCATGTGAGCTGTAGTCTAAACTCCTTTAAAGGGGGTTATATAGGGGATTATCTAGGGGACTACTATTGGGGTTATTAAGGGGGATACTAGGCGTTTAGACTATAGCTCATGTTACCCAAAGGATCTTACAAGTAAGTGCCTTTATAGTACAAAAAGGTTCTATACAAGGGATCAATAATGTGGTTTGGGTTCATATCTCAGGTGCCCAAATTTTGTGTCAAAGAGTTTAAATCAAGCTACCATAATGCCGACTTAAGTGGAAACACAGCTTATAGCCGGAGTGACATAGGAATGGGACGAAAATTACGTTATGATTACATGGGCATATCTTTAGATGATGGCCTTGTCTCTGTACGAGCTGTAGTCTTAACTCCTTAAAAGGGCTTATATAGTGGATTATACGGGGGACTACCGTAGGGGTCATTAAGGGGGATACAAGAGGTTTAGACTATATAATATATAGCGCATATGATTGTAACGTAGGTTCAGCTCCTTCACGTCCGCCCAGGTATCTGGCGCAGCAATGCCGATGGAAGCGCTCCCACATGGGAGACTTGGGAAATGGTTACGGCTTGCGCATTGTACAATTTCCCAGACTCCCTTAAAGGATCCAAAAAATGGAAACCCCTAATAATCCTCTACTTTCCCCAAAGTAGTACTGGGTTCATATTGGGGGGGGCTCCATTCTTTGGATCCTTTAGGCGGTCTGGGTTAGGTTTCACGTGTGGTGGTTTACGGGATGCTCAGGGTGTAGAATGTTCTCAGAAATCACGCCTGGAGCAGTGGGGCAGCTCCTCCCCCCAAAGAAGGGGGAATGCAATAGTGCGGGGTTCCCAATTAATGCTGGATGCGTTGTTTGGCAAGACTTCCTGTAAAGTGGTTTCCTGCTGTGTTTTTTGTTCTCGACCGCCAGCGGTTTTTTTGTTTTCGACCCTTTGTACTGGCAATTCCTTAGGGGAGAGTTAGCCTTATTCCATATTTTAGTAATCGAAACACAACAGTACAGTTGCTGAAATGATGCTTGTGGGTGTTTTGGGGATATTGTATAGAGGTAATGTGGCATTCTCTTTAAGTATACCCCCTGAGAATAGGGCCCCCAGAAAATTACGCGAAAAATAACGGGCGTTCCCAATAAGGCCCCCACGGTAGTGGGGGCCCCGGGGATTACTTTAAAGGGGATGGTCTGGATTCGGTTAGGTGGGCCGAACCGAGACGCTTCAAAGAGAGTCCTCAAACAACGGGCTGAAACTCTTTGAGCCAGCAGCCGAAACAGATTAAAGAGAGTCTGGGGTTTAGGGTTTAGGGTTGTTGTATCAAGCGGCGGCAACATCACCCGATCTAGCTCCCCACGCGCCCTGCTTCAGGGCAACCAGGGTGGCGAGATCAATACAGGCTGTAAGTTAGAACCCACCTACATGCGGGTAGTTTGCAAGGTGGGTAGATTGCTAGTTGGGTCAATTTGCCTCAGGGTATTGGATACCAACCCTAAACCCTAAGCCCAAGCTTTCTGAAAGGCTACGTTCCCACAGTCCAACACTCCAGCAGGTAGATTTCCCACAATATCAATGAGGCACATCACCCATGAACTAGCTCAGGAATAAGCCTAAACCCTAAACCCTAGTGTCTAGTTGTCGGGAGTTTTTCAAGCAGACCGGAAGTTCAAGTGACAGAATATAGTCCCCGGCCCCCTTAGGTAGAAAGAATATGGGGCATATGGGGATCCCATTATAATATACCCAAAGCCATATTCTATCTACTCAAGGGGACTATAATTTTATACTTGCCCAAAATGTACATCTACATTATCATCACCTGCGTTCCCAATGCTCAATGATGGGGGAGTTGGATCTTTGAGGCAGAGTAAGGTTAATAAGCAAAGCCCCAAACCCGGCGGAGCTTCGCATCTAGCCACTAAATCCGAAACCCTAACCCATGGCTGCCGTATAATCCTTTCAGCCGTTGTCGGTGGGCTTTGGGGCGGGGATACAAGGAGGGGCCCGATAGATATAAGTTGGGTTACAAATGGGTGTCACTGGAGACAAGTATGTTGGTAAGTCCCATGCATTCTAGTTAAGGGACTTTTAGGCAAAGTTATGTAGCTATGTAACTAGGGGGCTCCACCCCGCACTACCCCAAAAAGGATGCTGTCTGCGCACCTTCTCACCTCCACGGATTCACTGGTGCTCCAGGGTTGAGGGCTTCTAGTACCCTTAAGTAGATAGAATATGGTGTATATGGGGATTTTATTCTAATATGCCCAAACCATTATCTACTTAAGGGGGATTATAGGGTGGGGGAGCCCCATGGATACTCCAGTAGTCTCCCTCCATTTTTCTTATCCATTCACTCTAATCCACCCAAACCCCCTTAATCCCAAGCCCTACACCCTGGCTGTGTACTGTTCCTTGCTTCATCGCCTATTAACTGCCACTAATTTGTAGGAAATCGCGTGTCCGTTCTCTTCAACAAGCCCAACGTCTGGCTTTGGCAGCCTTCCCGGTGGATCTTCTGGCCCATGTATGCCCCTCACCCTATCATAGGGTTTAGGGTTTAGTGCCTCACCCCATCATACTTGAAGGCTTAGAGTTGCAGAGGCGTCGGGGGGTTCCAACAAGTAGGCGTCCCTTTTAGCCATTCCGCGGGCTTGGTGGTGATCAGTGGGGTGTCTATATTGAGGTCCCCCATTTATGGGACATTCAACAGGAAACAGAAGTCACACAAGTACGAGCCTAGGTGTATTCTGCAAGCATGTCTTGCTCCTATGGGGGCAGCCCCTATACGCCATGGGACACATTGGATATCAGGTTTTCGCCTGATCAGGGGTACATCTTCGAAGCCGTGCTCCTACTCTCCTGCCCCCCGGAGCATCCTAGAGCCTTACCCCAAAACAGCCCATCAAAGGATTCGAAGTTTATAGTCCCCCGTAAGTTGATAGAATATGGCTTTGGGTATATTATACTAAGATCCCCATATATCCCATATTCTATCTACTCAAGGGGGACTGTATACTATATCCCTACATGGACATCTTGGGTAGAGTTACGAAGAATCCCGCAACCATGTTGTCTACTGAGCCCTAGGTTGTGTCCTTCTTGTGGACTCCTTTCCTGGCGCCTGCGACGCTGACGTGCCTTGAAAGCAGGAAAGTTTCGGCTGCCACCAGTAGCTCTGGCTGAAGAAGAGTCGCACCCCCCAGTGAAAAATGGAGGGTTGTCTATGGGTTAGTGTCTTGGTATATTGAGGGTCGAAGCTTGTGAAGGGTTAAGGGTGTAGCGTGATCGCATGCCCAGAGTTTCAAGCAGGACTTCCGTAGGGCTGAGGCGCGTTGACGTCCCGCCCAGCTGCCGGCGATCTTATTGATTCCCCTTCTTTGGGGAGCTGGGGAGCCCATCACTATCCCTAAGGGCCCAAGGACCCAAATAACAGGGTTTTCGGGTTTGGGCTCTACAACCCTATTATTTGGGTCCTTGGACCCTTAGGTATATGCTGTAATGAATCCCCCCCAGTGTTGTTCTAGGAGTGTTCCGGGGCAGGGTCCCAGTCCAAGTACCAGAAAAGCATAGTAGGGTTTAGGGATTATAGGGTTTGGGGTTTGGGGATATTATACCTGGGTCCAGATAGGTCTTTCTGGGTCCGTTGAGCCCAAGCTATCTACAAATTTAGATTCTCTGACCTTTGCGCTTGCCTTAGATACTAAGCCACAGACAACTTAAAACTTTCAATTTCACAAACACATTTCCCCCGAGATCCTAACCCTAACCTGGACCTAGCCTTAACCTAAACCCCAAACCCTCCAGCTCGGGATAAATGAAAATTCTACAGGGCAACAGCAAAACACAACAAATGTCAAAGTCGCACGAATCTGCGGGCAAGAGCCCTCTACAGTTTCTGTTAACCCTGAACCCTAAACCCGGAAACCCTGAATCCTAAACTCCATAGATCCTACAGAACCTAAAGCCTTTGCCAAGTCTTTGGCAGTTCCTATTAATCCTAAACCCTAAACCCTTAATCTATAAAACCCTAAGAACCTAAAGCCTTCGCCAAGTTGTTGGTTCTCATTCCTTACTGGTATGAGGGATTATTTTCGGTATATTGGGTTTATATACGGGATATATTAAGGGTCATATTAGGGACCCTAAGCCCGAAACCCTAAACCCTATTATTGGGGCTATAAAAGCCTTTGCCAAGTCTTTGGTTCTCCTTCCTTACTGGCCGTTTCCTGGAGCGCTTCTTCGACATCGAGGAAACCCCACGCGGTTTAGGCTTTAGGGGTTTAGGGTTTGAGGGTTTAGGGTTTAAAGGTTAGAGGGCTAAGGGGTTTAAGGGTTAGAGGGTTAAGGGGTTTAACGGTTAGAGGGTTTCGGGTTTAGGGTTCAAAGGTTTGAGGATTTAGGGTTTAAGGGTTTCAGGGTTTAGGTTTTAAGCGTTTTAGGGTTTGCGGGTTTAGGGTTTAATGGCTTAGGCTTGGTTAATTGGCGCGTTTAGTCTTGATATGGTGGAGGGCTCAGCGCCAGCTTAGGCTGTCAGACTTTGGACACAGGTCTGAGCCTTCATTGCCTGCATGTAGGCCATAGTCTAAACTGCTTAAAGGGGGTTATAAAAGGGATGATATAGGGGACTTCTATAGGGATTACTAAGGGGGACTCTAGGAGTTTAGCCTATAGCTCATTTGGGTTGATAGGGCTCATATCTGATTTGCACTGACCCTCCAAGTACTGTGAAGCCTGGGCTGACTGGGGGATGAATCCTGACATGTTGACCAAGGCACAACTGGACCAATAACCTTACTTAGTGGTTCTTAGTAGGGAATAATTAAGGGACCAGAACCCCTGTATCATATATTGCCTCGTTCCCTACGAAGAACCGGTAAGCTAAGAGCCGATTATCCTGGGCCCTTGGGGTACAACATGCATCCCAAGATTAGGACTGAAGGACTTCCCCCAATAGTGGCGAATCCAATGGAAAAGTAAATGGGAACTGCGATGGACATTTCAGAATGGAGAATCGAATTGGAAAGACCATGGAGAATATGATGGACCCCCAAAAAAATGATAATCAAGTTGCAAAAGAACATGGGAACTGAGATGGACACTCGGTTTTATGAGATCACATACTCTCCTGGCGCAAGAATCACCACAGCCACCCGTTGATTGGATGACACCCATTCTACAAAGTGGGTGCCCCTTCTCACTGATCCACATACGGGCCCATATGAGCTTTTGTCAATATCAGCCTTGTAAAGGACTCCTCACAATGGACATAGGAGTCCCTTTTATAGTTTGGTGTAGTCTCTAGTATAGTCCCCAATGAGGAACCCATGTCCATTATGAAATCATGCAGGAAATATTGACTGTAGCCCATACCTAAACCTCCAAAGTATTAAAAATACTAGCCCTAAACTCTTAAAACCAGGCAAAAAGGCTATGATTCTACATACCTTAGGGGTCCAGGTATAGGTCTCATTCAGGCTTTTCGACACTCCGCCTTTTCTCAGCCCGAACCTCTGCCCCCTCCTCTCATCGGGTTTAGGGTCTGTATATATTATAAACCCAACATACTATAGTAGTTTCCATTTTCTATTCCTTTATACCCTCTATATATATATATATATGGGTGTATGCATTTT